CTTTTTTTTTTTTAAAGATTTATTTTATTTTATTTTTTTATTGGAAAGGCGGATATACAGAGAGGAGAGACAGAGAGGAAGATCTTCCGTCCGATGATTCACTCCCCAAGTGAGCCGCAACGGCCGATACTATGCCGATCCGAAGCCAGGAGCCTCTTCCGGGTCTCCCACGCGGGTGCAGGTTCCCAAAGCTTTGGGCCGTCCTCGACTGCTTTCCCAGGCCACAGGCAGGGAGCTGGAAGGGAAGCGGGGCTGCCAGGATTAGAACCGGCGCCCATATGGGATCCCGGGCGTGCTAGGTGAGGACCTTAACCACTTGCGCCACCGCGCCGGGCCCGGAAGATGCTAGTCTTATGGAAGGATGAACTGACATTATTGAGGACTCCACTGCTGTCTTTTGGGACACGACACTGTCTTCCAAAATATGGTTAAAAAGAATAAGATGGTGCATTATTTCTACCAGCCATCACCAATATACAGTTGGTTTTCTTTCTTTTTTTTCCCTTCCTTTCCTTTCCTTTTCTTTCTTTTCCTTTCTTTTCCTTTCCTTCTTTCCTCCTTTCCTTCTTTGAAAGACAGAAAGGTAAGAAAGTGGTGATAAAGGAGGAGCAGAGAGCATCTCTGTTGGCTTACTCTGCAAATATTTACAGTATTTGGGTCTGCAATAACTTCATGCCAGGTGCCAGGACTTTTATCTAGTCACCCACATGGGTGGCAGCAGCCCAGATACTTAAGCCACCATCTGCTGCCTTCTCAGACATATTAGAGAAAGTTATACCAAAAGTGAAGATAAGACTTGAACCATTACTCACATAGGGTGCACCTGTTCCAAGCATTGGCTTAAAGTACTGAAAACTCTGTAGTACTATTTTCCTAAGGCAAGAACACTACAAGTCAGGAATGCAGGTAGAAAAAGAAGAGATATTGATCACTATATGCTCTAAAAAGATGATGAAGTCCTAACCTATCAATATTTATAAATGCACCTTTATTTAGAAATAGTCTCGTCAAATGTCAAAATTGAGATTCTTAGGGTAAGACCTAGTCCAATATGACAGTGTTCTTAGACATGGAGACATTTGAACATACAGGGAAGATAATGTGAAAATACAGGAAGAATGTCATCCATGGAAAATGTGAGGCTACTGGAAGCTAGGGAAAAAGGACGAAGCAGATCCTCCCACACCCCGCACCTGACACCTCCACGTCAGAGTTGTAGCCTCCAGAATTGGGGCAACACAATTTTTTCCTGTTTCATATATATCTAGTGCTTGACACTTTGTTATGTTAGTCCTAGAAACTAATGCGGTTTGGCATTCTGATTTTTTCCATGCATTTTTCTTACAACTGGGTTCCGCTTATCTAGAAACCCAGAAATTAAGCAGGAATGAATTTATAAAGCTATTTAACATATTCTCCACAGATTCTGAATATGAGACTGCCAGGTAGCCAATTGAAGTCACTTACTGCTGTTAAAATACAATCATACAATTAGACTGAAATGATGACAACCATCAAGGCAACGTAAAGTTATTGCCACACAACATATCAAGGTAAGGACTGTAGGTCGTCCCGGATTCCAGGACTATCAACTACTAACCAAACACTATCTACATAGCAGAAACAGAAGTGGAGCAGTGGATGCACTATTCATGAGAGAGAACAAGGGCACAGATTCTTCCTAAATAAGGGTATGGTTCATCTCACTGGGCAGACAGGATCACGAACAGTTCTTGAAGGCAAATAAAATGGGTAGTGAAGGAATCCTGAATATTAACACAAACTTTATACCAAGAGAGACACAGAAGATCCTTAAAGCCCCTAACTCTTCTGTTTGTCTATTTTGGAGCTGTAGGGTATGCTGGCACACTACATTACATCATTTTACCCAGAGATCCCTGCACAGCAGAGGAGAAATAACAGCCATCACTTGGTGACAGAATATAAGAAATTTTAATCTCAACCCTTCCTCTCCAAGTGTGATGACCACAGCCTGTTCAAGACAGAGTGTCCAGCGGTGCAGCAGTTAACGGCATAGTTACATACAAGTATTCTCAAATGTTGTTTGTGGGGGAAAGGGAGAGGTGTGTATGGTATACTGCCAATTATTGGGATGTACAGCCTTTTCTTGCTTTTGTATCCTTCCTAGCAACCATTCCTGTGTAGGAACCGTCCTGGTATTCTGTGTGATTCCAGTGAGCCACCAATCACAGAACTCCAGAGCTAAGTAAAGCCAAATGATGAGGCTCTTCGAGAAACCTGATGTGCAAACAGAGACCCACAGAGCATGTTGGCAATTAGAATGAGCCCATCTGATGAAGGCTTCCAAAGTACAGCTACATAGGTTCTCAATGCCTTGCAGATAACCAAAACACTCAAGTCAAACTGAGCACATACCAAAATGGTTATGATGTTGCATGGGCTATTCTTATGTCGGAGAGCCTGGTTTGAGCCCTAGGTTCTCTGTTTGCAATCCGATTTGCTGTCAATGTGTATGGGATGGGAGGGAAGAGAGCAGATGATGGTTCACCTATTGGGATTTCTGCCACACACGTGGGCAACCTGGATTAATTTCACAGCTCCTGTCTTCAGGCTGGCCTGTCCTGGCTGTTGCAGGCATTTGGGACTCAACCAGAGGCTTACTCTCTCTCTCTCTCTCTATCCTCCAACTCAAAAACAATCAAAACAAAACAAAATGGTTTAAAGTTACTGGCTTGTCCATATACGGTTATTTAAGATGCCCCATTCAGGAGCCTTCCTTTAAATTGATTTAATTTTTCTATCCTCCTTCCCTTCTTCTCTCTTCTTTCCTTGCTTAGTTAGCAAGAGTTCATGACTATTGCTTCCAGTTAAAAATATCCATGTTCCTTATCAGGCTTTGACAATTATTTGCATAGGCCTGTTAAGTTACAAAGAAGATGTTAATCTTGGTGGACAGAAAAGACCTAATATGGAAAATATTGCAGTTTTCTCAAATTAATAATAAAATAAGTACAGAATATGCTGCTCTTCCTATATGTCAAAAAAACTGTCTTTAATTCTTGAAACAGCATGAAAAAGGAAGAAAAACATAAGGGTAATATCTAGGGTAGGCTTCAAGTCACCCATGAGTGACAGTGTGGATAAGGCCAGATTGGCATAGCCAGAATGCATCTTCTCCCTCTATTTCCTTTAACTATAGGCCCTTAATGTACACATTATACACTGAAAATATACAGATATTTCTCACCCTTGCTCTTTCTTGACCCCCACCATCACACGTGAAGGGACTTTAAAACCACTTGTGAAAAATGGAACTAAAGTATGTTTTTCTTGGTGCAAGTTTATGCATGGATTTCAAATTTTCTTCTGCAAAAAAATCCTAATTTTAATTTCACTTTCCACAAATGTTTTGAATCTTCATTGTGCATGTGTGCATCTCTGTGGAATATCTAAAAAGGCATTTAATATCTCAGAATAACTTCTCTATTTTTAAAGAAGTTGCACCAGCTGACTTCTAAAAATTCCCTCAAAAACAAATCTACAAATTGTAATACTTAATTGAAAAAAAAAACCCTGCAAGTATATTTCCATAGATGACATAATGGTTGAGAGTTCCAATTACTTCTCAAACTCTTAAGAAATAAAAATATTCCACCAGTCAGACATGAATTTTAATCCAATTAAGTTACCAGTATCTTTAGGCAAAGGAATTGAAGAATCAAATATTTTCTGTATGAATTACTAATTTTATGCCAATTATGTCTCTATGTAATATACAATTCTCCACGTATTTTATACAAACACATGTGTGTACGTATATAAGACACACAAAGCCATCATTTTTACCTTTCTAGATTAACTCAAAATGAAACATTATCCTCACGAGAAGCTCTAGCAAATCCCTGTGACAAAGAGTAAGATGTAATCACTGCCTCTTTGTCCTCTGCTGAAGGATGGTCAGGAAGCAAATATTCCAGGATTTGATGTTCCTAATGTGCTAGTTAATGGATTAGTGCTATCAGTTAACAAATGGGCTTAACAGCAATGCTTTAAGAAATTCTACAGCTGCAGTGAACACTCCTATAGATTAAAAAAAAAGTCTTAAGACAAAATTTTTAAAAATTAATTTGCCTTTATCACTAATTAATAAAACTAATGGAATGTCAGTAATTTAATCCTCCTGAAACTTCTATCTTTGGAACATTTGCTTCGGAGCTAAAATTATTTGTAAGAGTAATGTCTCCCATGTTAATTCCTCAGAATTGGAACAACATAAAAATGCATTTTTGGCCATTGAAGATACTCATACTTTAGGAAGCAAATAAATTAAGTGATGATGAAAATGCACAATTCCTCAAAAAAATTTCAGAGAAAACACTATTTTGCCTTGGATCTGGACATGGCAACATAAAAACACACAAAGTAAGAAGAATTCAAGCCATCAGCTGGAAGTGGCACTCACTGTCAAAATTCCGCAGTACAGAAAGACCCGAGAAAGAACAGTATTTAACAGTTTCAGATAGCAAGGTTATAAAATGACATCTGCTAGGCAAACCTTCAGCCATCCTAAAACAGCTCATGTGCTGCTGTAAGTGAGAAAAGCAAACCAAGCTCAAAGTCCAGAAATTGCAAAAGGGAGCTTGGTTGCCGCAGGGGGTGCAGGCTCAGGGCTGGCACTACTTCTAACTCTGAGGTGCAGCAGCGGTTCTTTTTCTCCTCTGCAATGTGCGTGTCCTTGCCCTGCGTCGGAGACCTCGGGCTGATGCGAGTGAACCGGTGGGTGTTCGAATTTTTAAAGTTATGGCTTATGCCCTGCAGGCAACACTGAAGTCTCACCACAGAGCAAAGAACAAATGACCCCGTAGGCTCCTGGATCCGGAATCCAAGGCTGCTTGGGTGGCTGTGGGGAAACGTACGGGAAAGTTCGGAGGGCGCTGCAGCCCGTGAGAAGAAAATCCTGCCATCCTGGGCACCGAGTGCTGGGGGAGGACGAAGACAAGACGCTATGGGTTACTCACAGTTTGCCTCTGAGACGGGAAGCACTAGGGCGAGGCACACCAGCAGCGCCCCACAACGCCCCCCGAGAACCCTCATTGCAGAGCGGCAGAGGCGCGGGCGGGAGCCGGAGCCTGCCGCGGGACCCGAGCGCTCGGCGCGCCGCGCAGCCGCGAGCCCTGGCACTGCTTTGTGCTGACTGCGGCGCGCCGGCGCCAGGGAGGAACCGCCGGGGGCGGGGGCCCGATGGGGGAATGCGAGAGCTAGGACATTTCCTGGAAGCTTTCGGGACGGCGAGGGGGAGGGCTCAGGAACCTTGTATGCCTGGTAAACACAGCAAAGCACGCGTCATTTCGCCCCCAATTCCTGCCTTTGCTTTTACAGGGAAAGGACGCGCAGTGCAACTCTTGGCCACCAGAGCTGCAGGACCTAAAGAGTTCTGAGAGTTCTGAGGCGAGAGCTCCAGGCTTACACTGGGTTGCGGGGGAGAGGATGTGAACCAAAACTTGGAAACAAGTGAGGCCATTAGGAAGACAACAGAGAAGGAGGAATGGAAAGACGGGGAATGTTTATGACCATTTACATTTTTGTTTTAGTTTTGGATTTATGGTGTAAAAACGCTCGAAAACATTTTGGTGATATCTGAAATTCTGTTACCTTCATAAAATTATTTGGGGTTTTGCATATTGCTTGTTTAGTTTTTGGAATGAGCATCATACAAATGTTAAATATGTTTAAGGCTGCCTTGGCAGTAAAAGCGCCTGAATTCAAGTGGCAATGTGTACTGTGCCACTACATTGTGGTGCAACTTAATTCCTTGGGGCTGGCCTTGGTGAAGTGCTTATGATGCCAGCATCCTGGCTCAGCATCCTGGCTCAGTGGGTTGACACCTGCCATACCAGCATCCTGTGAGCGCTGGTTGGAGTCCTGGGAAAGGACTCCAGAAGATGGCCTTAAGTGTTTGGCCCCTGCCACCCATGTGGCTCCTGGCTTCCATTAGAACCATTCGAGTTTGGCCTGCAGGGCAGATGCCATAACTGTAGGAATTGGAACATCTGTTAGTTCACAGCAGAGTGTCAACAGATTTAAGATACCCCTCTCACTATGTCTCAATGTCTCTGTAATTGCTTTCTTTAGATGCTAGCATCCTATATATGTGTATTTGGGTTCAGGTGCTGGCTGTCCTGGCCATCACAGCTTCCTGGGAGTTTGCACTCTGAGGGGCACAGGTGATAACTCAAACACACTGATTCTTTGCCACCCACCTGGGAAGCCCAGATTGCGCTCCTGGCTTCCAACTGGCCACTGCTGATGTGCTCATTTTTACCACACTGGAGTTGGAAGATCTTTTCTTGCTTCTCAAATGACCAAATTTGTATCTCTTCTCCCACCATTCAAATAAGTAAATACAAATCCAACTCTGTGACCTCTCTTGGCCTCCATGGTATTATATGTTTAGTGGGAATAGTTTAAAAACTTTCCATAGTTCTAATGGAAGGATTTTAAGAGAGAGCATATGGAGAGGGGAGGGCATTATGACATGGTAGATAAAGTGGCACCTTCACCACAAACATCCCCTTAGGCATTGGTCTGTGTCTGGGCGTGTGTTCTGGCTTCTCTACTTCTGATGCAGACTACTACCAATGACCTGGGAAAAGCAGGGGAGGAGGTCTCGGACACTGGGACCCTGCACCCTGTGGGGACCTGGATGGTGCTTTTGGACTTTAGCCTGGTTTAGCCCTAGCATTCTAAGTCCCTTAGGGAGTGAGCCAACAAACAGAGAATCTCTCTCTACCTCTGTTCCTTTGTAAATTCGACTTTCAAATAATTTATAAATAGCAATAATCAATAAATATTTAGTATTACTTTTACTCTGGGAAAATGAAGTATCAGGTAATTTTTTTAAATATCATCACACTTTTTCCCATTTAGAAATATTTTGTTTTCTTTTATGATACAGTTCCATAGGCTCTGGGGTTACCTGTGCCCTCCCCAAAGTTTCTCCCTTCACCCCATTGATTTCCCCTCTAGTTTTACAATGGGTGTCTTTCATTTGAAGTCATAGCTGTTTTTGAAATGTTATTGAAGTGGAGCAGCCAAGACATGAACTGGTGCGCATATGCGATCCCAGCAGATGCAAGGCAAGGATTTAGCCACTAGGCTATTATGCCAGGCCCATGTGCCTCAAATTTGATTAGGTAATCATATTTCAAGAGTCTCTTCTGGCTCTAGAGTTTTCTTGTTATGTGATTCAGCTGGGTAGAGATTGATCAATACTCAAATCACCTTTTCTGAAAAAGAATTTGAGTTGGAGAATTTTTATTCACTTAGTACAGGATAACAGTTTTCTTTCTAGGTCTGGCTGTTTCTTAGATTACATTGACATAATCACCGAAAACATCAATATTGATTATGTGATAATTCTAGAATAATAGCAGCAAAGCTTTCATCATTCAGAATAAACTACATCATGTTGTGGTAAAGTAACCATAAATTTCCATGCCTTTTTGTTTATTATTTGCCTTCAATATGTTGGCTTAGCCTTCCATACTATTTTGAACTTCAAAGTCTACACAGACTTCCAAAATTACCATCACAATGAAAGAGAGAATGAATGGTTTCGCCCAGAAACAACATATTATTCATATTGCATTGGACAAACCAAGTCACGTGGCATCCCAGACCTCAGGAGGGTGGGAGTCATTATCTCACTTATCTATAAGAACTAGGAATGGCTAACAGCATTTGTGTCTCCTGAACAATTTATGATGTTGAGTAACAGGGTCACTGGAGTTAGCTAACTGACTATTGGCACTAGACCTGTATCACCACCTGAACTGTGGAAGCAATGAAATGGAGCCAGTTCTAAGCACACTCATATTTTTTGGAAAAATGAATAGGACTCCAGAAATGATGAAGGAAACTGCATATGGTAAGACAGAATATTAAATTCTCCAAAGAAACATGTTCTTGAAAAGGAAAGAAGGAAATAAGGGAAGAGGTTAGCAACTATGTTTAGGAAGCAGAGGAAGACTGGCTAAGGAGATAAGGAAACAAGAATCCATAATTGTCATGGGCCAAGGCAGGGCAAGCGTTTTAGAAGAGCTGACTGTAGTAAATGCAATTAAAGAGGGCTGATGTAAAACACAATAAATGTTCTGAGTAGTTTGATAGGATAGGAACTTAACCATGGTAGAGATAATATAATGCAAATCAACAATAGAGCGTTTGAGGGCTTGAAATCACTAAGAGAAACAGTTGTGAGACGAGTGAGCAGGAAAGGTAGCTAAATGGAAGGGAGGACGATGGCGTTATGCTGCCTGGTCGACCTATTCCCTCCCACTGAGACTGCAGGAAGATGTGCCTCACTGGCTTACACTAACTACAAAATCTGCCGCTATTTACTAAAGAGCCACCTCAGCTTTATTTCTCTTGCTTCTTCATTTATAGCATTTCGAAGTACGGCTTTAGTAACCCTGTCCATGCCCTTTTGCTTTCATCTTACAAAAGGGATAGTGGTTTAGAGACAGTAGATAGTTTCATAAATGTGCTTATGTACAAATACATATGTATATATTTACACACACACATATTCTATATACATGCTTGATTTAGTCACATAAATTCATTAAGAGCGAAGAACAATTTAAAATCCACACCTATCTTAATCCCAAGCTACTGTTTTCCCTTGACCACACTGGGATTCTCACTGTTCTCCTTATAGCAGGCTGTGAAAACAGATGAATAGAAAGTGAATGGCTACACAGGCACCTGCATATCACGAGTGTTTTGTTTTTTTTTCCTAGAGGACTGTATTTGTCATTTTCCTCTCTGAAGATTTTAGTACAAGTGCAGATATTAACGAGCTGTTTTAAAAAGTACAATATTAAACAATTAAACATAAGCTAACAATCTCCGGCTTGCAGGAATCAACAGTCAGCAATTCATGTTTCCAAAAATCCTGAAACGAACACCCATTGAAAAGTTCACACTGGTTATTTTGGTGTAGTAGATTTTTTTTTTTAAGATTTATTTCTTTTTATTGGAAAGTCAGATATACAGAGAGAAGGAGATACAGAGAGAAAGATCTTCCATCTGCTGGTTCACTCCCCAAGTAGTCGCAACGGCCGGAACTAAGCTGATCCAAAACCAAAGCCAGGAGCCCAGAGCCTTTTTAGGGTCTCCCACGTCGGTGCAGGGTCCCAAGGATTTGGACTATTCTCCATTACTTTCCCAGGCCATAAGCAAGGAGCTGGATGAGAAATGGGCCTGCCGGGATTAGAACCGGCGTCCATATGGGATCTCGGCATGTTCAACGTGAGGACTTGAATTACTAGGCTACTATGCCTGGCTCTTGAGGGGTGATAATTCAATTTTTTCCCCCACATTTTCTATAAGAAAGATATATTTTTGCAATCCTTACACTCCTAAAACGAGTATCAAATAATCCCATTTCACGTTTTACGTGGCAATGAGTAACTAGAGGTTAAAATATCAGGCTCTTCTGAATTAAGACAATTTGGCAAGTGAGTTTTTCTCATGCCCGTAACTTGTAATTGTGTCAGTATCTTATTTGTGTAGTTGTGTAGGCGGAGCATGCCCAGGATCCCAGAGAGTCCCCATGCCTACTGCCTGAAACAAAACAAAACAAAACCAAGTCTCGTGCACCATAAGAGCTGAGGTACCTAGATCCCAGGTGGGACTGCTTCAGACAAAACCAGAACAGCATCCTTGGCCGGCAACAAATTTATGATAAATAAAAAGCCTATCTTCAGAGCCGACTCTGTTTCTACCTGGACGCTCCAGTTGCTTGGTTACGTTCACCCTCTTCCCCTCCGAGTTCCGCCCCCGTCCTGGAAAGAGGCGGGGAAAAGGCCCTTTCAGCCATTCAGAGGTCCCCATCGCGGGGACCCAACCAATGATTGGAACTTTGCCCTGTGGGCGGTGCTTGGGGGGCCTTCCGCGCCTCGGAGGAACGTCAGCACGTCGACGCGGGGCTTTTCTCCGGCCAGGTCCCGCTAGCCCAGCCGGGGCGTGTTTGCGCCTGGAGTGCCGCTGTCCCTGAGCGAGGAGGACCGTGGCTGTCCGCTCGCGGGTCGGAGCGGTTGGCGGGACGTGGAGCCGCTGCTCCGGGCCTTTTCGCTCCAACGGCGCCTGGCAGAGGCGGAGGCCCCCGGGACCGGCGCTCGGTAGCTAGGAGCCCATCCCCGCCCTGGGCTCGCATGGGAGGTGGCGGGAGGAGCGGCCTGGGATGTTCAGTCTGATGGCCAATTGCTGCGGCTGGTACAAACGGTGGCGAGAGCCCATCAGGTAGGCTGGAGTGGCTGGGGATGCGCTCAGGGCCGGCCGGGACCCCGCCTCTCTCCGAACTTTGGGTGATGCTGCTGGCGTCCCCTTTTGACTTGTCCTGGGAGGCCGACTGAAAGGTGTAGCCTTTTAAGTTCTCATCTACGCTGCTCGTCGTTTTTATATTTTAATTAGGTTTGGATTTCTTTAAAAGTTGTGCAGTATATGCAGGTATGTGATTGAGAAACTCTTAGTGATGATTTTTTCTCTAAACCTTCTATGATAGTCACTTGTGGAATATGTTTTGGTAATAGCCACACACCCCAAATTTATATTCTCTTTTCCCCTTGTGTTAGAAAACCTGGGCTTTGAAATCTGGCTCTGCTACTTAACAATTACATGATTCAACTACTTTTGGCTCCACCTCCCACATATATTAAAGGCGATGATAATATCTCTGTCTTTGAAGTGTTGCATTCAGTAAGTGTTGGATGGTGCTTTCCTTAATGTAGTTTCAGATTTCATATAGACTTTCGTTGAAAGGATCAGCTTCTGAACACTTTATGCTGCAATGCCAGCAGTGTTAATACTTTGTTTCTAACCCTTTGTAGTCCACTCAACAAACACTTAAGAAAATGCCATGCGCCAACATCTGTGTTGGGAAGGAATAGTGAACGTTTTTACGACTTGGGGTCCAAGCTTTAAGGAGACTTGAGCTAGTAACTTCTTATACATAATGTTAACCTTTTTACAGTTCTTTGAAATTAGGCCTAGGATGAAATCCAGCAAGGTTTTAGAATTGTAGCACTTCAAATACAGAGTTTGTAGTGCCTTGTGGTTGAACTGTCTTACAAAGGATAATTGCAGAAAATTACCCTTACACAAAATAATGTTTGGGGAAACAAGTTTTGTTAAAGGATTTCCCCATCGCTAACTCTTATCAGGACTTGCAGGTCTGTGATATGAATGCCTCTCAAGAGTCAGGTGAGTTTCTGGGTGCAGGAATTGATTTGTTTGATCATGTTCTGGTCTGGTCCTGAACTCTCTCACTAAGACTTGAGGAGCATTCATGGTAGATGACTTCTTACGGTTCTCTCTTTGCTTTAAAAAATGTGTTTGATTTTTATGAAGGCAATACAGCATAGGTCCTTCCAACTAAAAATTCTCAAAATTTGTAATTTAGAGAAGGAATTTCCAGTGTATGTCATCATCTTTGCATCTCAGTGAAATGTCTCTGGCACGGTTTTTTAAAAAGTAGAATTTAGTATTAATATTCAAGTTGCATTAGTAAAGTGAATTGGAAGTCAACTTTGCACCCGAGTGTATTTTCTTTTTTCATGAGTATCATGTATATCTATGGTGTTCAGCAAGCAGTCTAGCGGACAGTTCCATTTGTTATTCTGAAATATATGAGTCAAGAAAGCTGATTTTGTGCTTTTATGATCTGTATTTTTTCTTAGAAAAAAATAATTTTGAGCATTAAATTTATATTTTTCATAGCTTTTTAAAAGTTTTAGGTTATGCTATTGTGTATTGAGGTTGGCCCTCATGTTTTGTTAAGACGTGTTTGCAAATGTAACAGAGGTGATGGTGAATGTTAATGTATGCTCTGACTTTCCGTTCTGACATATGTATCCTGTACTGTTTATTTACTCAGCTGTCCTCACGCAGATTCACTTCCAGTGAGCGTCTTCTTCTGTAGATTGGGGTCAGAATGTGGATAGTTGGGATAAGGGTAAGGCAACAGTCGGAAACCAACTGTTAAAGCATGTCTCTAGGTTGAATTTGGGACCAGGAAGATAAGCATGTCAGGAACCCAGGCAGTGTTCAGACCGTCCTGCTGCTGTTTGCTGCCAGTCAGAATATGAAACCTAGGCGTTTGAGCTATGCAACCTGATCTTGAATAGAATATACTACTAGACTGTCAGAAATGGCTTGTTCCGGCAGTGAGGTATAGTGGTTAGTGTTCTGCTTTATTTCTTTGAGAGGCAGAGCACCAGAGAGAGAGATCTTCCATCTACTGTTCATACTCCTCATGTGGCCACAGCTGCCAAGGCTGGGCCAGACTGAAGCCAGTAGATGGAAACTCCGTCTGAGTTTCCCACATGGATGACAGGGCCCCAAGTTGTTGAACCATCATCCTCTACCTTTCCATTCCATTAGTAGGAGACTGGATCAAAAGTGAGCAGCTGGGGCTTGAACCACCACTGTGATATGATAGGATGCAACAATACAGGTTGCAGCTTCATCCACTTTGCCGCATCTCTGATCAAAAAAGAAAAAAATGCTTTGTTGCCTTTTTTTCTTTTTCACTTTTTGAGACCACAGTATAGTCATGAAAATTATGAAATTACTTTTTGTGGAATACTGTTTCAGCTGTAGACTTTATTCTGAGCTAACGAATTTTCTCACAATGTCCTTTTGTTCCATCCAGGATCTAATCTCTGATCCTGTGTTATATTTGGCATGTCTGTGTTATCTCTCCCAGTGTATGACAATTTCTTCTTTTCCTTGTCTATTTTAACCTTGACTGAAGAGTGCCCATCAGTTGTTTTGTAGATACCCATCAGTTTGCTTGTCTGTTTTCTTCTGATTTGACTAAGGGGTTGAATTCTTGAGAAAAATGTCAGAGATGACATGTTCTTTGCAGTGCAAGAAAAGCACTATATGGGTGTGTCTTATCATTGGTGATGTTCAACTCGATCATTTGTTTAAGATGGCGTTTGCTTGCTAGGTTTCTCAGTTTGGTTTGAGTGTGACTCCCAGAAGTTTGTCTCTGTCAAATGCTACCCTTTTGCAACATTTTGGAAGAGAAAATGTATTTAAGTATTTGGTGCTTTGTTAACAATTGTCATTCATTTGTGATCCTACGAGGTAAATACTCATTAGTGATATATTCTAGTTTTTTCTAAGATTTGTTCATTATATTTCAAAGGCAGAGTTATATATAGAGAAAGAAATCTTCCATTCCCTGTTCACTCCCCAAATGGCTACAATTACTGGGGCTGGGCCTGGATGAAGCCAACAGCCAGCTACTCCATCCATGGCTTCTGTGCAGCTCGAATTTGAACCAGTGCTGATATGAAAGGCCAGTGTCACAAGCGGCAACCCAACCTGCTGGGTCAAACAGTGACCTGCACTATTTTATCTTTGTTAGTATGAATACATATGCCTTTTTCCCCTTTCTTGTTCTAGTAAAAGAAGGGTTCATTTTTCCTTTCCAATGTTAATTCTTACAACAGTGTCCTGTGTTTTGTTTTATTTTTGTTGTTGTTTTCTTTAATTGTCACACATTTAGCCATCCTAAAATACACAGGTCAACATGTAGCTGAAATCCTAGATGACAGAGAGAGCTTCATGAGAGTCAACAATAAATTTAAACTTTGATCTGGAAATGTTTTTCTCAGTTTTACTGTCGGATATCCAGAATCTCTTCTATCTTCATAGCTTCCCTTGTATTTCTTCTTTAGAATGTGAATTTGTTGCGGGCTGTTGCTATGGTATAATAGATTAAATTGTATCCTATCATGCCAGTATCCCATAGAAGCAGGGGTTCAAGTCCTGCCTGCTCCACTTCTAATTCAGCTCCATGCTAATACACCCAGGAAGGCAGTGAAAGATGGCCCAAATGTTTGGGTGCCTGCCACCTCTGTGGGAGACTCAGATGAAGTTAAAGCTCCTGACCTTGGCCTGGCCAAAGATATAGAGTCTTCTAGTCTCAACACATCCAAAGGTGAGCTCATATAATCTCTTACTGTGTACTATATGATGTTTTTACTTCTGTTGTATTTATTAGTGAGTTACTTCTACTAATATGTTGCCTATATCAGAAGCTGAGAATAATCCTGAACATCTGCTTGTGCTTTGGAGTTTTTCACATTACCAAGGCTTTGGCTTTTGCTACTTAATACAGCAGTCCTTTATCTGCAGGGGATACATTCCAGAGCCCCAGTGGATACCGCAAGCTGTGGGTAGTGCCAAATGCTGTGTTTTTTCCCATATATAAATACGAATTACAAAATTTAATTTGCATTATGTATTTTTATTGGAAAGTCAAATATACAGAGAGGAGAAGAGACAGTGAGGAAGATCTTCCATCCACTGATTCACCCCCCAAGGGGCCACAACAGCCAGAGCTGAGCCTGTCTGAAGCCAGGAGCCAGAAATTTCTTCTGGGTCTCCCGCTCGGGTGCAGGGTTCCTAGACTTTGGGCTGTCCTCGACTGCTTTCCCAGGCCACAGGCAGGGTGCTGGATGGGAAGTGGGACCACCAGGATTAGAACCGGTGCCCATATGGTATCCCAGCACATGCAAAGCGAGGATTTTAGCCACTAGGCTACCGTGCCAGGTTCATAACAACAATTTTAAACACTGACTTGTACTGTAATAAACTTGCTGGCATCTTAGCTTGGAGGCTAAGTTTAAATAAACATTGCTAAAGCACGATGATACAGTCTATTAACTGGAGTCTGGTGACAAGCAGGCAAGTATCATTCACAATGTTTGTGTGCTGAACAGAAGGAATGGATCTCACTCCAGTAAATTTCTTTTTACTCCTCAAAACAGGGCATAATTTAAAATGGATCAATTGAATATTTCTAGAAATTTCTGCTTAATATTTTCAAAATATGCTCAAGGGCTGTTAACTGCAACTGTGGAAAGAAAAATTGGCAAGAAGGGCCCATTGTATCTTTAAATGTCTTCCTATATTTCTACCTTCCCACAATCATTTTCTCTGTTTAGAGTAGGTTTCCATTATTTCTCTTGTAGACTTATGTACCAATATTAGTGGCCTTTTTAGTGACTTTATGTGTTTAATACTTCTGATTGCCTTCATGGTAATATCTAAACTAATTACAAGGTTTTTGTGTTTTTTTCTGAGCCTTGGTGCATGGACTTTTCTTTCTCTTCTGGTCGTGCCAGCTATGGACTACCAAATCCTCTGGTTCCTCCATCTTATTTGGAACAAACCTGTGTTCTTTGGGGTGCTTCTAATCAGGCTTTTAATCTCAGTTGGGAGATTGT